GAAAGAGAGACTTGCATCCTCTTCGCAGTTCGCACACTTCGGCAAAGGAAAGCATTTTTAAGGTTGTCTCTGAAGTCTTTTGAAACAAAATAATAGATGAATGGATCAATGCCACTGTTCAGAGTGGAAAGACACAACGCTGTTATATATGGGGCATACACGTGACTTTGGCCATAGTCCCTGATCAGAGAATAGTGCACTACAAGTAGAATATTACTAGGTATAAAACAGATAAGATATATGGATAGTACTGCAATAATGAGCTTGATTGCTCTTTTCCGTTTCTTTCCAATGTTTACATCTGTAATGGAGGCATTCAAAGTCTTAATCATTAGGATGTAGGCAACAGCCGTGAGAACAGCTGGGAATAAGAAGACTCCAATTGCTAGAGAAAGGAAATAATTAAACATGTCACGGGCCAATACACCCTGGGGCAACACATCGTGACAAGTAGTGATATTAAGATTTGAAATATATGCAGTTTGATCAACAAGGTACAATGGAATGGTGCTCAAGAAAATCAGTATCCATATGGCAATTGAAACTTTTAGTGCCAGTTCAGACTTCTTTCTTGAGTGTAGTATGGGGTTCACTATGACCCAGTACCTTTGCACACTGAGACATGTCATAAAAAGAATGGAGCAGTACATATTTCCATAAAAAAATCCAACGAGTACTTTGCAAAGTCCTTCACCATAGATCCAGTTGTTGCCATTTATATGGTATGCAATCTTCAGAGGGAACCAGAAGACAAACAGAAGATCTGCTAGTGCCAGGTTAACCATATAAATCACAGCTGGATGTTTCTTTTTTGTTCTGAAGAAAAAGACCCATAAAGCCATGGCATTGCTTGGTAAACCAATAAGAAACACAGTGATGTAGACTACAGGAAGGAAAACTGTAGTCAGTTTTCCAGTAAGGATTTTTGCAGCAAAGTCATCCACAGTATATGATTTTACAGAGGTATTTTTGGTTTCAACCTTTTGGCCAATAAAACTTCTTCCTTTTGTACGGTTGGACTGACTTCCCACTAAAGAGGAAGAAAGAGACAGATTAGTACAATGTCATTAAATAGATAGTCCAATCTATTCTAAACTATGAAGGGCATTAACAGAAAATAAAGTTAGCAACAATGCTTGAATCCAGTCATATTGTCCTTAGTTTTATCTCCCTCTCCTTTTAGCTTATTACCCTACAACGATGTAATTCCTTTATTACACCATATTTAAATGTTCAATTATTCAATGTCCATGCACAAATTCTCTTGGTTTTTTTTGGTGGAGGGTTAGATATTAGTAAATATTACTAATACCTAACCCTTTCAAGCCTACTTGAGTAAGTAGCTGAATCAAAGTAAACAAAGCTTGAGCCAATTGTACGTGAACAGAGGTGTGAACAGAGGCATGTCTACGTGAGGAAAATTAAAAACATAGCTATATCAACAGTTTTCCCCCATGTAGACAAGCCCCTAATTGCACTCAGTCTTCAGAGCAAGACAGGAAAGAAAACAAGAGTGTTAGTATTTGTAATACTGCTTGAAGATGGTCAAGCAGTAAGGGTGCTGCTAGCCTGAGACAGGGGAAACCGGAGTTCAATTCCCTACTCCATCACAAACTTCTTGTGTGAGTTACTTCCTCTCTCTATGCTTCAGTTCCCAATCTGTAAATACTTCCCAAAAGTGTTGTGAGGAGAACTACAATGAAGGGGGACTATACAAATACTTAAGTTAGAAACACAAATGTGAATATACCATTGCAAATCTCAGTTTACACAAGTGCAGCTTACCTAACACCACTGAACCATCCATATGAAAGTAAACTGCATTGCTGAAAGCCCTGCAGCATGTCAACAGTGTAACTCTACCAGTATGCTTCCTTCATTTATACTGAGGCATTGTCTACACTAGGGAAGAGTTTGCTGGTAAAACTTATATTGGTTACAGCTCCTTTGCTGGTATAGCTTATGCCATTTCCCTGAACAAAATAAGCTAACTGAATAACTGAATCTACACAAAGGCATTTGCTAGCATAGCTATGTCAGCTAAGGGTGTAAAGAGAATCATACTCATTAATGTCAACTGACACTAGTTACAGCAAGTTTTACTGGTGCAACTATTTTGGTTCAAAAAGTCATTTGTTAACCAAAGTAGTTACACTGATATGTTTGTTGCTTATTCCCATATGGTACTGATAACTAACTGCATTCACAGAAATGAGGTTGTTCTGATTACACTATAGATATACTTAAGCAGTACTTTTTTTTTAAAACCATTAGACAAGTCCCGAGTTACTTGACAGTGTACATTTAAGAGTCAATTAATCGTACCATAGTTCAGCAGTTTTCAAACAACAGTGCAAGGTGCATAGTTGTCAAGTCTGTCAATCAGTAACCAGTTGGATGCATTATAAATTTCCTATTATGTTGTACATGTCCAGAGCTTTAAAAACTGCTACCATATAACAGAAATTAGAAAAGTGTTCATGTTTCTCATGTCAGTTTTCTACATTACTTTAAACTCCATGTTTTCCAATCCAACCATTGAATATCTATTTCAGAAGTGTGCACCCAACACTAGTATACATCAGTGCTAACAGTATACATCAGTGCTATCCATGTATGTGGTAAACATTCAATAGTGAATGGATGAGGTACAGATTTATATTAGAGGAGATACAGCATTTAAAAAGATCCTCTATAAAAAAAAGCTAATGCTTTAGTAATTTGTTACTTTTTTACTCAGACAAGTTAATAATCAAATATTCTGCATTTTATATTCAACATTCATTTTATGCAGAAACACAGAACCCAAATGTTAACTATCAAAGACAATTAAAAGTAATAGTAAAGGTCAGGGGAATAGTCATCAGTAGGCTCAGAATAGCTCAGTAGTTGTACATTACTTCTGAGGCCATTCAGCATCCAGAGAGAAACAGTGCATTTGCTTAAAGTAGTTGTCACACTGGGATAGGATGCTAATTGTATTTTCTACATATTGCACTATGCCTTTTGTATCTTAACTTTTCATAAAAATTGAGACTATCCCTCCTCCAAAAGACACACCAGATTTTCGCTGTGTAAAGTATTGAAGCACGCAAATGAAAATAATGAAACAAACTGTTTTTAAAACAGTTAAATTCTGGTTGTTATTAAAATAAAAAGTAGCAAAATGAAGGGCTCTGCTTACAAGAGACATAACTTTCTGATGTCAGTCATGTCAGAGACTCAACCTCAAGGGTTTTTTGTCTGTTTCATTGATTTGTACCTGAGAATCTAATTAAGTTAAAAGTGAATCTGATCCAATTTATGATAAACCATTTAACTTTCAAAAGGCACAGTGAGTCCATACCAAGTTTAAATTGGCTAACATTCATTTCAGAAATGATGTGTGAATGGGGAAGGGACATTTAGAGAAAATAGTTGATAACAATTGTGCATTATCCATGACTAATGGAGCTGGCCCATCCCTTGCCAGTGCTGTTGATTCATAGCTCCTCCTAGATCCCCAAATGCTGTGGCATCAGTGACCAGAAGTGCTTGGCTTCCATCTCCTTCCCTCCAAATAAAAACACAATTCTGTTTTGCAATACTTTCTCTCACGTTAAATTGCCACAGGAGTCCAAGTGCGTTACCTGCAGATTAGATAACTGCAGTGCACTCTGGTGCGTGGTGACCAGATGTCCCGATTTTATAGGGACAGTCCGGATAGTTAGGGCTTTTTTTAAAATATGGGCTCCTCTTACCCCCCAGCCCCTGTCCCGATTTTTCACACTTGCTGTCTGGTCACCCTGACCACAAAGACCACTCAAGCTACAGCTGGGGCAGAATGTAGCAGCTCGCTTCCATAGCGCATTATGTCCGAGTTTCAAAAACCGCATTGGCTTCCCATTTGCTGCTAAGGGCGATTTAAGGCGTTAATATTGATCTTCAAGTGTCTGGGACTTGACTTTAGATTGTGAGCAACCTGGGGGAGAGATCGTCCCTTCTCTGCCCGGAAAGCACCTAACAGAGGAAATAGCCCCCCAGCCACCCCCTGAGGGCCATCTTCCCTGCCTCTCTCCCCCCAATAACTGATCTGCAGGCCCGCTCAAGCGAATCACGCCGTACGTTTGACTGTCGGGGCCGCCGACCTCCGGGCAAGGGGCGTGGCCCGTGGCCGCAGTGGGGCGAGCCGTGGCTAGGATCCGCACCCGGGTGGTGCTAACGCCTGGTGGCGCCTATTTGGGGGGAGGGTCCCTGGGAGCGCCTCAGATCCCCGCGCCCACTGCTCCCCGGGGTCTCGGCTCCGTGTCCCGGCTGAGTCAGCCCAGCTCCGGGGAGGGGGGTGAATCTGGACCGATCGAGCCGAATTCCGGCTCCTCCCAACCTGCGCGGGGGTGGCGGTGCCAGACACCAGCAGCCCGGTCGCTGCGCTGCGCCCCGGCCACCTCCCCCACCCCTATGGCGGCGCGGCCCCGCTCCGCGCTGGCGGGGACGAGTCTCCCGGCCGCTCTCTTCTTACCTGAGGCGGACGCGGTCACAAGCGCCGCGCACAGGAGCAGCAGCTGCAGGCAGCGGCGCGCACCCATCTCCGGCCGGGACAGGCTGCGGCACAGACACTCCTCACGACAAGGACCTGCCTGCTGCTATGGGCTCGCGCTCCTCCGGCCGCCAGTTTCGCTGATACCTGCGAGGGGGCGGGGTCGAGCTGCCGTCAGGCAGGTGCCTCGACTCCGCCCCCTCGAGGGCGGACGTTGGGTTTCGAACGCCGCGGGGGCACGTGACGTGAGTGAGTCACTGGCGGCGTGGAACTGGGTCGGGGCGGCTCAGGCCGGTTACCTGCGGGCCCAGGAGCGAGCGGGGGGAGGGGCTGCTCTGGCGTGGTGCGCAGGGCCCCGCCGAGTCCCCGGAGCTAGGGTGGCGGCGGCTTGTTTTTGCGGCGCTGGAGGTGCATCAGTCCCAGCCGCCGCCACGCGGAGCAGAAGCTGGTGTTTCGACGCGGCTGGCACCGTTGCTAAGTATCACGTCTACACGAGGTGCCCCGCTGTGTGTTGGGTAACGCCAGTTACTAATCCCCCCACCCACCCCGGAAAAGCAGTGTGGTGTAAACAGGTGCTGGCTGCGCACCCAGGCAACACATGCCGCTCCAATAACAGGGTGAGTCACGCCCAGTCAGTGGGCGGGAGTCAGCACCAGGGTAATACCCTTATCCCAGTACAGAAGCCTCAGTGGGGCAAAAGCCGCCAGGACCTCTTGGTGCCACCTGGCAGGGGGCCCTGGGTTACAGAGGTCCCCTTGGTCTGGCATCTACTAGTCCACCAAAGAATGTTATGTGAGGTCTCCCATGAAAGCCTGTCCGCTGATCATAATCATTGTGAGATATATGTACGGGTAATACCTGAGAGGTTATGAAGATATAATACAAATTATATTCTCTTGGTCACTGGTCTCCAAAGTGGGCTGCGCAAGAGGATCCTTGGGGGTGCGTGGCAGGAGGAGCCCTTTTTTTTTTTGGTGCCTTGTCAGTTCAGGGGGGAGTCCGAGCGGCTTTCTTTTTTTTTTTTTTGCTTTGGCAAAAATGGTAGAGCCAGTGCAGCAGGGGGTGCGTGCTCAAAATTTTTTTACTGATAGGGGTGCGTGATCAAAAAAGTTTGGAGACCACTGCTCTAGTTCTGTGCGTTAAGGCAAGTCACCAAAAGGTGATCTGCATAACCTCACGCAACAGTGAAAAGATGCATGTCTCACTCTGGGTGGTCATGTGCAAATTAAGTATTGTAGGGTTCACAATCGATGCTCATTCACAATCTGAGCAAAATGCTAATCAATAGATTGCAGCGGTTGCAGGAAAAAATAAAAACAGCAGGGATTAAGACCTTAGGGATTCGGTCAAATTTATAGAAGTCGGTTGTTTAGAAATCGTTCTTATATAGTTGATTTTGAGTGTCCACACATAAAATGCTCTAAGTGCATTAAGTCGGCGGACTGCGTCCACAGTACCGAGGCTAGCATCAACTTCCGGATCATTGCACTATGGGTAGCTATCCCACAGTTTCTGCAGTCTCCGCCGCCCATTGGAATTCTGGGTTGAGATCCCAATGCCTGATGAGGCAAAAACAGTGTTGCGGGGGATTCTGGGTACATGTCGTCGCCCCTCCCCCACCCCCCGTGACAGCAACGGCAGACAATCGTTTCGCGCCTTTTTTCCTGGGTTATCTGTGTAGACGACATATCACGGCAAGCATGGAGCCCGCTCAGCTCAGCTCACCATCACCATATGTCATCTGGGTGCCAGCAAACGTGGTACTGCGTTGCTACACAGCAGCAGCTAATTGCCTTTTGGCAGTAGACGGTGCAGTATGACTGGTAGCCGTCATCGGCTATCTGGGTGCTGGCAGATGTGGGACTGCATTGCTATACAGCAGCAGCTCCTTGCCTTTTGGCAGTAGATGGTGTATCACGACTGGTATCCATCGTTGTCGTACTCCTCAGTGAGTTTGGTCAGAGGCGCCTGGGCAGACATGTTTTGTCTCCTGGACACTCAGTCCTGCCGGCAGTCCTATTGCACCGTCTTGAGGATGACGGCTAGCAGTCGTAATGCAGCATCTTCTGCCAAGCACCCAGAAGATGCCGATGGCTGTCAGTCATGCTGCACCATCTGCTGCCAGCCTAAGATGTAAAAGATAAATGGACCAGATTTGTTCTATGTTCATTTGCTTCCCCCTCCCTCCGTGAAATCAATGGCCTGCTAAACCTAAGGTTTTGAGTTCAATCATTGGGGGGGCCATTCTGTGTGACAGTTGTTTTGTGTTTCTCCCTGATGCACAGCTACCTTTGTTGATTTTAATTCCCTGTAAGCCATGTTGTCAGTCACCCCTCCGTCAGACAATAGTTTCGTGGCTTTTTTGAGCCCAGACGCTATAGCACTGGGATCATGGAGCCCGCTCAGATCACCGCGGCAATTATGAGCACGCAGATTATTCTGGAGTATATACAGAGACAGAACCTGCCAAGGCAAAACCAGGCAAAGAGGCGACTGCAGCGTGGCGACGAGATTGATGAAGAAATTGACATGGACATAGACCTCTCACAAAGTACGGGCCCCAGCAGTGTGCAAATCATGGTGTTAATGGGGCAGGTTCATGCTGTGGAATGCCGATTCTGGGCCTGGGAAACAAGCACAGACTGGTGGGACCACATCATGTTGTAGGTGTGGGATGATTCCCAGTGGCTGCGAAACTTTTGCATGCGTAAGGGCACTTTCATGGAACTTTGTGACTTGCTTTCCCCTGCCCTGAAGCGCCAGAATACCAGGATGAGAGGAGCCCTCACAGTTGAGAAGCGAGTGGCGATAGCCCTGTGGAAGCTTGCAACGCCAAACAGCTACCGGTCAGTCGGGAATCAATTTAGAGTGGGCAAATATACTGTGGGGGCTGCTCTGATCCAAGTAGCCAACGCAATCAAAGAGCTGCTGATATCACGGGTAGTGACTCTGGGTCATAGTGGATGGCTTTGCTGCAATGGGATTCTCTAACTGTGGTGGGGCGATAGACGGAACTCATATCCCTATCTTGTCACCAGAGCACCAAGCCAGCGAGTACATAAACCGACAAGGGTACTTTTCAATGCTGCTGCAAACCCTGGTGGATCACAAGGGACGTTTCACTAACATCAACGTGGGATGGCCGGGAAAGGTACACGATGCTCGCATCTTCAGGAACTCTGGTCTGTTTCAAAAGCTGGAGGAAGGGACTTTCTTCCCGGATCAGAAAATAACCGTTGGGGATGTTGAAATGCCTATAGTTATCCTTGGGAACCCAGCCTACCCCTTAATGCCATGGCTCATGAAGCCGTACACAGGCAACATGAACAGTAGTCAGGACCTGTTCAACTATAGGCTGAGCAAGTGCAGAATGGTGGTAGAATGTGCATTTGGACACTTAAAAGCGCGCTGGCGCAGTTTACTGACTCGGATAGACCTCAGCGAAACCAATATCCCCATTGTTATTGCTGCTTGCTGTGCACTCCACAATATCTGTGAGAGTAAGGGGGAGACATTTATGGCGGGGTGGGAGGTTGAGGCAAATCGCCTGGCCACTGATTACACGCAGCAAGACACCAGGGCAGTTAGAAGAGTACAGCAGGGTGCGGTGCGCATCAGAGAAGCTTTGAAAACCAGTTTTGCGACTGTCCAGGCTACGGTGTGAAACTTCTGTTTGTTTCTCATTGATGAAAGCTCTCCCTCCCCCCGGTTCCCTCTACTTCCCTGTAAGCTAACCACCCTCCCCTCCCCCCTTCGAGCACCACTTGCAGCGGCAATAAAGTCATTGTTACTTCACATTCATGCATTCTTTATTAATTCATCACACAACTAGAGGGATAACTGCCAAGGTAGCCCGGGAGAGGTGGGAGAGGAGGGAAGCGCCGGGTGAGGTGGGGGAGGAGGGAAGGACAAGGACACACTGCACTTTAAAACTTTAACACTTATTGAAGGCCAGCCTTCTGATGCTTGGGCAATCCTCGGGGGTGGAGTGACTGGGTGGCCGGAGGCCCCCCCACTGCGTTCTTGGGTGTCTGGGTGAGGAGGCTGCAGAACTTGGGGAGGAGGGCTGTTGGTTACACAGGGGCTGTAGCAGCAGTCTCTGCTCCTGCTGCATTTCCTGCAGCTCAACCATACGCTGGAGCATATCAGTTTGATGCTCCAGCAGCCGGAGCATCGACTCTTGCCTTCTGTCAGTAATCTGACGCCACCTATCCTCTTCAGCCCGCCACTTGCTCTCTTCAGCCCGCGATTGCGCCCACCACCTCTCCTCTCATTCATATTGTGCTTTTTTGCACTCTGACATTGTCTGCCTCCACGCATTCTGCTGTGCTTTGTCAGCGTGGGAGGACATCTGGAGCTCTGAGAACATATCATCCCGAGTCTGCCGTTTTCTCCTTCTAATCTTCGCTAGCCTCTGTGAAGGAGAAACATTTGCAGCTGGTGGAGGAAAAGGGAGAGGTGGTTAAAAAGACACATTTTAGAGAACAATGGGTACACTCTTATACGTTAAATTTTGCTGTTCACATTACACAGCACATGTGCTTTTGTTACAAGGTCACATTTTTCCTCTTATATTGAGGGCCTGACGGTTTGGTGTGAGAGATCATTCACGCAGTGCCAGGCAACAGAATTCGGCTTGCAGACAGCCATGGTAAGCCACAGTCTTTTGGCTTTTTTAACCTTCATAACACACACAAACCCAACTAACCCCTCTCCCCCCACACCCAATTCTCTGGAATGATCACTTCACCCCTCCCCCCCACCGCATGGCTAACAGCGGGGAATATTTCTGTTCAGCTGAGCAGGAACGGGCACCTCTGAATGTCCCCTTAATAAAATCACCCCATTTCAACCAGGTGACCGTGAATGATATCATTCTCCTGAGGATAACAAAGAGAGATAAGGAATGGATGTTGTCTGCATGCCAGGAAACACCGGGACCATACGCTGCCATGCTTTGTTATGCAATGATTCCAGACTACCTGCTACTGGCCTGGCATGGTAAAGTGTCCTACCATGGTGGACGGGATAAGGCAGCTCTCCCCAGAAAGCTTTTGCAAAGGCTTTGGGAGTACATGAAGGAGAGCTTTCTGGAGATGTCCCTGGAGGATTTCCGCTCCATCCCCATACACGTTAACAGACTTTTCCAGTAGCTGTACTGGCCATGATTGCCAGGGCAAATTAATCGTTAAACACGCTTGCTTTTAAACCATGTGTAATATTTACAAAGGTACACTCACCAGAGGTCCCTTGTGTGCCCTCAGGTTCTGGGAGCACGCCTTGGGTGAGTTCAGGGGTTACTGGTTCCAGGTCCAGGGTGATAAACATATCCTGGCTGTTGGGGAAACCGGTTTCTCCGCTTTCTTGCTGTGAACTATCTTCATTGTCTTCATCATCATCCTTCCTTGTCCCCCAAACCCACTTCCATGTTGCGTGATTCTCCATTGATGGAGTCAAAGCACAGGGTTGGGGTAGTGGTGGCTGCACCCCCTAGCATGGCATGCAGCTCCGCGTAGAAGCGGCATGTCTGCGGCTCTGCCCCTGGCCTTCCGTTTGCCTCTCTGGCTTTGTGGTAGGCTTGCCTTAGCTCCTTAATTTTCACGCGGCACTTCTGTGC